AACGATTGAATTTTGGCAAGGTCATTAAAGAGGTTAAAACTAGAGGATCAACACTTAGTGAAGAGAAAGATATAAATAGTGTGAAATTATCTTTGTCCAATTATTTAGTTATTAATTATAGAAGAAAATCCAGAAACTTTAAAGCGGAGAAGGCTAGGAGATGTGGATGTCCTAAATAATTAAAGTTAACACCAACATTAAAATGTTCTAACATCATGTACTTCCTAGTATGTTACCCCCGGAAGGACACAACATCACTTCCGTGGGACGCCTGCCAAAATGTACAGAAAACTCTGACCTAATTGTAAAGGAAACATCAGACAAACCCAAGTGGAGGGTCAGCCTACAAAATAAGTGGTCAGTCCTCTTGAAATATGTTGTTGGGCCCGGCGCGGTGGCGCAAGTGGTTAAAGGTCCTCGCCTTGCACTCCCGGGATCCCATATGGGCGCCGGTTCTAATCCCGGCAGCCCCGCTTCCCTTCCAGCTCCCTGCCTGTGGCCCGGGAAAGCAGTGGAGGACGGCCCAAAGCTTTGGGAACCTGCACCCGCGTGGGAGACCCAGAAGAGGCTCCTGGCTTCGGATCGGCATAGTATTGGCCGTTGCGCTCACTTGGGGAGTGAATCATCGGACGGAAGATCTTCCTCTCTGTCTCTCCTCTCTGTATATCCGCCTTTCCAATGAAAAAAAATAATAAAAATAAATCTTTTAAAAAAAAAAGATGTTGTTGCCTTGGAAGATGAAGGATGATTGAGGAACTCTTGTAAGTTAAAGAAGGGACACATCAAAATCGAATGCAACTTTATTTTGCAATTGATTGGCTTTTGGTAAATTAGGGATAAGATCTGTAAATTAGGTCATAGTATTACATCAGTATTAATTTCTTGACCGTATTGACTGTGAAAGAGTGTGCTTCAGTTTTTAGGATGCATACACCAAAATATGCAGAGTGAAAGGAATATCATGCTTGCATGGCCCAGATAAATCTGTGTGTGTGCATGGGTGGAGAAAGAGAGAAATTATGCAAATATTGTAGCATTGCAAACATTTGGGGAAAACTGGATGAAGGATATATGGAAATTTTTTCTGTTATTCTTGAAACTTTTATGTATGTCTCAAAATTACATGAATCAAGATTAAAAATTAAAACAGTAAAAAAGGCAAGTGGGACCCAGGAAAGTTTACAGCAGAGGTCTGCTGATAATGAATTAGCAAAATGTCCAGAGGAAAACAGCGTGTAGAAACAAAGATTAAACTTTATCCTGAAACCTGGGCATCTTCCAAATCAAACATGCAAACATAACTGCTTGCCCAAAGTACCTTTCTTTCAAACCTCCTTGGAAAATGCAATACTTGAACATCAAATCCTGCTTGAATATCATCCTTTGTCAGGGTGTGGTTAATTTGTTTCTCCTTATCTGAGATCAGAGCTGAGCTTAGGTTGGAGTCATGAGTTCAGTGGGTTCTCCTTGAATTAAAACAGTGACACCTTTAATTCTACATGGTATCTGGAAAATACCAGAAGCCCCCGGAACCATGTGTGCTCAGTGGCCCAAACTAGCTTACAACGCAGTGAAAGACCAGCTGAGCTATTTTCCTACTCACTTGCCTAGATTTTTGTCTTAATAATGAGATGATATCAGACATAGCTTGTAACCTAAACGTTGTTCTCTTACCTCATCAGGACGTCATAAGTCAAAGGAAGTACAACTCTCAAAAGAGCAGTTTTATTTAAAACACACAACCACACATTATGAAAATATAGGTACAGTTGGTACTGCAGAAATCAAATGATTTTACAAGTATCGCTGAGTTCTTAGATGGGCAACCTTTATTAAAGAGCATGCAACATTGGACTTAACTGAAAATTCAGAAAAACAAATAGAAGACATGGTCCTTTTCCCAAGAGCTTGTTTCTGGGGAAAAACCCCACATGAAACAACTAGAGAAAAAGATCAAATTATTATGCATGCTTAGAAATCAATCTAAAGCACAGTGTGGAGTATTCTGTGATACACACTAAACTTGTTTTGAACTGTGAATTCAGTGGAGTGACAGGGACACAACACACAGTCCTGGGAGTAGACAACAGCCTCAATATCATGCCCCATCAGTTTTGTGCAGTGTGAATTGAGTACAGGGTTATAAATAGTAACAGTAGAGAATCCACAGTACATACTAGGCTTATGCAGGCCAGACGGTACTGATGGAAAATGAGAACATAAGCAGACATAAATAGAGCATGGACATTCTGTATAAACAATGGAGCAAATATATCTCATGGGTGGAGATGGAGGGGGAAAGAGTTTCTCCCATAGAAAGGCAAAATTATGTGGCAGAAGAGCTTTGGTGTCAGAGAAACTAAGATTCTTCTGGCCCTGCTTCTGCCTTTGTTCCCTAAATTCTGCAACCTTCATTTCCTCTCTGTCTATATTGGGGAGGCTACTAGCTTGCCCTCTTGCCAGTAATAAGTTCAGTGCTACCACAAGCATCAAGCACCAAGCAGAAGCAAGTGAACCTCTGGCTGCTTTCCCCCAATCTAGCAAAGCACTAGATCATGTTAGCACTGTGTTTGTCTCCCCTAAGAGACTGAACTTCTCAGAGAAGGGCTTCTGCCTTAGTGGTCTTGGTCTTTGCAAGACCTAACAGTATCTGACTCTGTGGTACATTCTCAGGAAATGCTGACATAATAAGAATCATCAAAACTATACTTACTGATAATGATGGTTTAATCTTAACTATTTACTTGATGTCTAGCTCTATGCTAGAATCTTCTCATGAATATAATCTTCCCAACAAAACCTTGATTGTCAGCATGCAAACCTGGACACATGAGATGACTGTAGTTTCAAAACAGGTAGAGAGCTAACAAACAGGGAGTCCAGGCTCAGCCGGGCTGGACTCCCAGGGCTGTGCTGAACCAACATGCACCAGGAAATTCCGCGGACCAATAGGAATGTCAGCAGCTGTCTGAGTACCAAAAAGGGAGAGAATTTGTGAGAGGGGCGAGGACATTGTAGGCATAGATGACACAGCTTCGGAGAGAACTGTAACTCTGATGGGGAACAGAGGGTAGGTGGAGGTTGTGAACAGGGAGCATGTGATGGGCTGGCAGGGAAAGGCTCAGTGAGCCTGGTTCTGTCACATCCACCAGGCACAGAGGACTTGTGGAGTTACACCGAGTGCTGCCGAACACCAAAAAAGCTTCCATGTGGGTTCTTAGGACGGTGCTGGGGCACAGAAGTGCAGACAGGCACGGGACAGCATTTGGGGCTGCTCCAGCTGGCATGCACTAGGGCCAGGAAGTGCTTCTAGGCAGGGGGAAGGGCCTGTGAGTTTTGCAGAAGAAGATGGAAGAAAAGCCCTGCGAGTTGACAACAGACTGCAGACAGCATTAGTCACTCCTAAACAACGGGGATGTGGGGGTGGAGGGAGGTAGAGGCCACTTAATGTAAGGGTTGAAAGTGGGACCCCTGTGAAGTGGCACTCCCCTGTACCACAGGGAGGGTGTCTGCATCCTAGAGTTATGGCACACAGGTGACATTCTCTCTAATGGCCAAGGAATTTAAAAGAGGACAGGTGCTATGAGTAGATCAGAAAACTCATGCTCAAGCATTTCATTTTTTTCTTCATTGTGTTCAGCTGGAGCAAGACTCACATCCACAAAACACTATATAAAATTTGGCTCTTTACTGGGGAAATTACTACAAGATAGGCTCCAGGTCCTTAATTTCAGCTGCCGACAGCAACAGGGATGTCCCATTGACATCAAACACATGGCCCACTCCAGCTGGCCCAGTTCCTGGTCCCAGCCATCAAAGGCAGCTTTAGTTTTTCAGTCCTCCAAGCACAAAAACTTGAGTCCAATTTTAATGGCATTCATTCTCCTCCAAACACAGGTCTTGCTCCTTCTTTCATTTGAAATACTTTCCGGATTCCTTTCTTCTGCGTTGGCCTCTCCTCCTTTCTTGTCCGTGCCCCGCTACCTTTCTAAAGACTTACACCTGTCCTTAACTTTCAACCTTTTGCCAAACTAATCGTCAACCGATATTTAGGTTTACCTCTTAAATCGCTTATCTTGCCTTTCCTCAAGGATTTTCTATAGTTTTTCTGAGCGCTAGGGCGAGTTTAAATTCCTGGATTTATCATTCAAGGCTTGGCTTTGCGCAATCCTCCCCAGATTCTTTGCCGGGGGCGGGGCAGGCAGGGGTTTGCCTTGCACCCACCCAGCGTCCGCGCTCCACCTCCCGCTGCTGCTGCTGCTGGAACGCCGGCTTTGAGTTCACCATCAGTCTTCCCTGACCCATTATTCCAACCCTGCTGAGTTTTACCACTTGGGATCCCACCCAAGCCAGCACTGAACGTGTCACACACTCATGATTTGGTCTCAAAACGTGAGACCTTGATTCGTGCTGAACCTGCCCATCCGAGAGGCTGGATCAGGCACCCCCAAACTGTTGAATGGACGGGTGGATTGATGTGCGAAGGAACATGCTCCTGGCCCAGGCTCTTCTCTGCTAATTCGCAACGCCCCACTTGGTACTGAGGCTCGCGAGGCTAATCCCCGGCCCACCGGCTGCCCTGTGGTGCGCTCAGGGTTCTGACTTCAGAGCGCGCCCTGACCGGAGGACGGCGGTGCAGAGTCCGACCCTTTGCTCCCACTGTGGCTCCACTCAGTGGGAACCGAGTGGGTGCCCGGTATCACGCATTCCAACGACCACTCCCGGCTGCGTGGAGCGAGGGCGCCGCGACCGGACGCTGGGATTCGGGGTCGCCCCTCGCCCTCCCCCTCGCAGCCATTGGGCCGCTCGGCGCAGCACGGGTGCTTGGGGCGGGGCCCTCCCCATCTCCCCTCGGCTCCCCTCCCCTATTTCCCGGGGTGGGGACGGCTGGAGGCGGAGGCGTGCAGGGGCTGCCGAGGGGCGTCCGGTTACATCTCCGCCTTCTGCAGCGGCCGGCCGCCTTCTGCAGCGCCGGGTTTGCGGGAATTGCAGTTGGGACCATGCGGGCTTCGTGGATGCGGGCGCTGCTGCTGCAGCTGCTGCTGGCGGGACTCGGAGGCTGCTTGAGCCGCCAAGAGCTCTTCCCTTTCGGGCCGGGCCAGGGAGACCTGGAGCTGGAGGATGGGGATGACCTCGTCTCCCCTGCCCTGGAGCTCACCGAGGCGCTCCGATTCTACGACAGATCCGACATCGAATCGGTCTATGTGAGTGCGACCCAGGGCGGTCAGGCACAGGGAGGGGTGGCAGGTCGGCATCGGAAGGAAGGCGGGCACGTCGGGGACACCCGGGGAGTTGCACGGGCGTGGGTGTCGAGGGCGCAATCCCTGACCGCTGGCCTCACGCCCACTGGGTTCCCGCCTCTCCCCGGCCCGCCGAAGGCTACGCGGCGTCGGGTGTCCGTCACCCAGGGGTCACTCGCCAAGTCAGCCCGGCCTCGCGCGCCCTGCTGGAACGCTGGGTCGCTAACAGCCCCAGAATCCAGGGCGGAGTTTCCTCCCCGAGGACTGTACAAGTCGGGTCCCCTCCTCGCCTGTGGCCGGTGCCTTTTGGTGGCCAGGACCCGGCCCAAGTCGGGACTAGGTGCGGGCGCAAAACCTCCGCGGGAGAACGTCCCAAGTTACAGAGCCAGGAAGGACAGCCGAAGTTGGCTCTCTGCTCGCAGAATTTAGCCGACAGCCCCCGCAAATGCGTGTGTGTGTGTATACACATGCCGGATGTGCCTTGGCAGTGATTCTGTTCTCCAGTCCAGCTGGTTCCAGAGTCCAGAGTTCAGGGCTGGGACTGCAGGGCGCCCTGGGGATTCAATTTCCTGTCACCATGGGGTGGGTGGGGGGGAGATGCGCAGATGATGGGGGAGCCTGGAGACCTTTAACTCTCTGGAACCTCCCTAGACCTGGGCGCCTTCACCCCGGTGAAATCCGTTCGTGCCTCTGCCTTCCGCAGCCGCCCACCATGTGGCTTTCATATAAAGTGTGTGTGCATTCCAGAAGTGGGGGAGGCTGCCCTGCCTCAGAAATGGCCGTGCTCCCGGCCCGCCTGGCACACCGCCTCTTGAACAACCCTCACGTAGAGCCCCCAGCTTAGCCTGACCAACAAAGAGCTTTTAAAACCTACAGACCCTGTTTCACCTTAATGCGATTTGATGCATCAAATAAAATCCACAAGATTGCCAGAGAAGCTATAGATGTTGAAAAATCCGGTAAGCGGAGTTAGGACATCCATGTGCTGCAGTGTGTTGCCTGGATTCAATACCCAGTTGTGGTTCCTAACTGCATCTCTCTGCTAAGGCAGATCCTGAGCGGCAGCTGGGATCATTCAAGTGATTGGGTCCCTGCCACCCATATGGGAGACCTTGATTGAGTACCTGGCTGCTGGCCATGATTGGTGTCATTTAGAAAATAAACCAGCTGGTGGCAGTTCTGTCTCTCAAATATATTGTTTAAAACCACATATTTTATAGAGTAGTATGTATGCTTCCTTTCAACTTCATTAAATAGCAAGGTATAACTGTGAATCAGGAAACTATTGACCTTTGAAGGTCATAAGGCCTATGAAATTAGGAAACACTTGCAGCAATTGCAGTGTGATATCAAAATACCTGTAAATTGTGCTGGTGACAAAATCAAGATAGCTTCTGGTATGGCTTTGTTACCATATTCATAATTGAAGAAAAATCTAAATAGTAAGTATGAAAAAGTGAAATTTCTAGAGTTGGCACTAGGATATAGTAGGTAAAGCCATTGTCAACATCCCATATGGTTGCTGGTTTGAATCCTAACTGCTCACTTCTGATCTGGCTCCTTGATAAGGCCGGGGAAAAGCAGAAGAAGATGGCCCAAGTGTTTGGGTTCCTGCCACCTATTTGAGAGATCCCAAGGAAGCTCCTGGTTTCTGCTGGGCGCAGCCCTGACTGTTGCAGCCATTTGAGGAATGAACCAGAGGATGGAAAATCGGTGTCATTCCCTCTCTATATAACTCTGACTTTCAAATAAAATAAACAGTCTTAAAAATCCTGAAATTTCTTTTTCCCATCTGAATTAAGAGAATCATGAAATTCTACTCATGAACCCTTATGAAGGTCACACTGACCCCATCATTAATAAAGATTAAGAACCCCTTTATTAATTTTGAGACCTTCTGGTTGCCTTTACTTGGAGCTTCAACTAACCATGCTACATTTTCAAGACCTAGACAATCTGTCCCTAAAAAAAAGAAGATTCTTTCAAAGTACTCTTCCAGTCTATTCAAATTTCATTTGCGTTTGGGAATCCCAGAGTACCTCTCAGATTTTGTATCTGTGCTGCCAGTTGAGTTTTCCAGGAGACTGATCCTGAGATGGAGGCTAGAAGGAGATTATTTCATTAGGGTGAGCTTGCCAGATGTGCATCCGTGGAAGGAGGACAAGAGGAAAGATTGAGCAAAGGGAGAAAACTCTGGTACAGTATGGTCCCAACAAGGCACCCAGCCAGCTCCCAGGAGCCCTGCAGCTGTCTCAGTTCTCTTGTGTGGATTAATGAATCAGAGAATCCCCCAGTATGGAGGAGTTCACTGAAGTGAGGCAGTCATGGGGTTTGACTAAAAACTGAGGGCTACAATCCCAGGAGCTGAAGGGGCTTCTGTTGACAGTACTGTGTCCACCCCTACGTGTTGCTGTGTAGATGCTCCTTTGAACTGATGGAAGCCTTCATATAACCCTGCATGGGAAGGTGCATTGGTAGGGAGTGTGGTCAAACATTGGATGTTCTGTGCAGTCCAGTTGTTGGCCCAGCGAATGGGATACCCACCAAAGGAAGAAAGCAGTTACTGGTTGGGTAGGCTTATATGTGTCAGGTCCTTTTTCAGATGAAGGCATCATGACCATCTCCATTCCATTATGGGATGCCCAAAGCTGTCCCACCAGCTAAATTCCAAAGCTTGGATTTCAATCCTGATCTGTGTCTTGACTCTTGGCTCTTTCCAGTATTGAGGCTAACATGTGGTAATGGACATGAAGGGTTGTTGGCAATCATAACAGTGAGGGAGGACTTCACTTGGGACCCCTTTTCAGTAGGCAGAGAGGAAAAGGTACAAAGTGCATCGGCAATAATTTCCTCTGGGAATGAGCCTGGCCTATGCTGAGAAAGTTGGTAGTCTGAACTGACCACGACAAGGGCTATTCAGGTAAGGCCAGAAGATAGAATGTATCAGTTAGATTGTGTAATTTAACAATCTGGAAACCATATAGTGGGAATAGCTGGTAGTGGGCTGCTCCAAGGTGGCTATGGTAGAGGCAGTTATGATGATTTGGCTCCTGGCACTCAACCTCTACAGCTCTTCCTTCTAATTCAGTAGCCACCAACCAAACGCAGGTACCTTAATTTAAATAAGTACAATTAAAGATATGGAATTTTCAACTTTTCAGTCACACTAGCCATGTGTCAAGTGCTCAGTAATCTCCTGTGGCTCATGGTTAGACTAAAGAAGTAGTGCTTGCTGCTATAGGACATTTCCATCACTGCTACAAATTTTATTGCCTTCTAGGGTCAGCTTAGAAGGGTCCTTCTCAGGAATATGGGAAAGCCAGCAGCATACCTCTGAGCTTTCACAAACCTCTACTTGATTCATGTCTGCTACTATCTCACATGCTAAAGCAAGTTGTTTGGCTAAGCCCAGAGTCAGTGGTAAGGTAGAGGAAAGGATCGGGTCCAAGTGATGCCATGCACCACATGGAAGGTCAGGAAAGGCTAATGGTGGACTAAGCTACCTGTGTGTGCTCACAAAACCTTCTCATCTCTGATAAGGTGAGTCTAGCAGTTGTTTGCAAAAATTATAAGGATAAGGGAGCCGTTGAAAGCAGGGAAACAGTTTCATAAGTTACTGGATTTTCCAGATAGAAAGCTATTGGGGCCTACTGAAAGAGGGCAAGAGAGAAAAGATCTGAGAGGTGATCAGATATATCGACAGAATCTTGGTCGCTTGTGGGACATCAAGGAGAAGGTGGGCAGCAGTGGGATTGCTGAAAGACTGATTCAAGTCATGAGCTCAGATTTGACCTTGACATTGGGACCCAAAAAGACCAGAAGTAGGGGATGATGTGTAGCCAATAAATCCTCCAGTAAACAGAACAGTCAGTCTTGGGAGGAAAGCGGAAGCCTGGAGGCATAGGTTTACAAGAGGAAACAGGATAGGTAAATGAACATCCGGATTTGGGGTCCTGGAAGATGCGTGCTCTATTGATGCTCAAAATGAGGCAGTTTTCAAAGTGTGCTCCAAAGAACCCTGGGTGTCCTAGAACTCAGGAATCTACAAAGTCAAAACTTTTTCATCACTACCATGATGCTTGCTTTTTAGACTCCCATGCTCTCTCACACTCTGTGAGACTCATTTGAGTTTACATGATGTGTGTGATGCTAATAAAAACAGGTTGAATGCAGAAGCAGGTAAGAGAGTCTAGCTGTGTTCTATTAAGCTAGACAGCAAACTGATTTGCTAAAATGTAAAACAGTGGCAATTCTGTTCTCACCCTGAATAGTCTTAGCTTGGAGAATATGTTTGTTTTCATTTTTAAAAGTTATTTATGTTAACATGTAGTGAGTTATTTAAATAATAGGAATATTACAGTATCTCTCAGCTTTAACTTCTCATATGACAAATGTCAATTGAGATAGCCTTCATAAAGACAAGCAGGGTAAGCACTAGGCATGGCAACTAAAGATACTAGTTTGGACATTCATATGCTATGTCAATATGCTCCAGGCTAGCCTGACTTTCCTCTGGGCTCAGCTTCCTGCTGTCACACTTTGGAATGCTGCAGTGATCACTCCAGTAGTCAGGTCCTTACCACTATTATAGGAGACCTGGATTGAGTTCCTGGCACATTCATGTACTTGCTCACATTCTCCTCCTCCCTCCTGCTCCCTCCCTTCATCAAGTAATAAGTCAATATTACAATCACAAACATTTGGGGATCTTTAATAATTTTTAAAGCGTAGAGAGTGACCCAGTGTTGTGGTGCAATGGGTTAAGCCACTGTTTGCAACGCCAACATCCCATTTGGGTGCCAGTTCAAGTTCTGGGGGTTTTATTTCGATCCAGTTCCCTCCCTGCATTAGAGCCTGGGAAAGTAACAGAAGATAATCCAAGTCCCTGGTCCCCTAAACTCACACAGGAGACTCAAATGGAATTCCTGGCTTTGACCTGCCTTTGTGGCTATTTGGGGAGTGAA